AGAGCACAAAATACCTTTTGCTGAGCATCCATGGCTGTGGTGACCTTGGAGGAGAACTGTGTCTGAGAACCTGTGTCTAGGAGGTGGCTGGGACCAACAGGCCCTGTTTGGGCATCTGAGCCCCTGGTGAGAGATTCCCCTCTAGGAAGGACAGAGAAGGCAGGACGGACAGATAGACAGTAGCCTTCCCATGACTGTGGTCAGAACTAGGGGAGTGGTTGTACCTTCTTGCTCTATTGAAGCCCTTGGATCTGCCGATGGGTTTGGACCGTCCTGTCACGAGGTTAGGTGTTCCAGTGAGCATCACGACAGCACTCAGAGACCAGAGTTTTGCTCTGGAAACTTCAAGATGCCACGGCTCCCTTTGTTGTCTCATGTGCCACACACCCAGTTCCAGCCTCTCTGGTCTTCTGGTCAGATGTCCCCTTGGCTGGCCTTGGTTTATTGTTCTGTTGAAGCAGCCAGTCTCCCTTTTCAATCAGTGATTGGTGGTTTGCCCTGTGCACCAGCCAGCACAATAGGAAGGCCTATTCTTGTTCAAGTCCCAGCATTTCAGAGGGGCAGGAGACGCAGGACACAGCACTGTGAGAGTCGGCTGACCAAGATCCAATGAGTGGAGCGCTTACACAGAGTCTTTCCATGCTTAGCTGTCTGTGGCTTGCATAGTGTCCATGACCGCCTGACCTGTCAGCAAAGCACAACAAATCAGGTAGGAGAGACAGCTCAGTGGTTAAGGGCACTTGCTTCCCTTCCAGGGGACCTGGGTTCAGTTCCAAGCAACCACATGGTGGCTGATAATTGTCTCTAGTTCCAGAGGCTCCAACACCACCTTCTGGCCTCCTTGGGCAAGGCACAAACATGGTGTGTATCCTCACACTCGGGAGTGTATGTACACACCTTAAATGAATAAGAAAATAAATCTTTTTTAAAATCCAGCAGGTAGCCGGGCGGTGGTAGCGCACACCTTTAATCCCAGCACTCGGGAGGCAGAGGCAGGAGGATCTCTGTGAGTTCGAGGCCAGCCTGGTCTAGAAGAGCTAGTTCCAGGACAGGAACCAAAAAGCTACAGAGAAACCCTGTCTCGAAAAATCCAAAAATAAATAAATAAATAAAATAAAATACAGCAGGTGTTTTCTGAGTAGATAAAGAGTTCTAGCTAAATACACTATAACCTAGGTAAGCTAGGGCCACAGAAGACTGAGCAAAGGAGGGGCATACACGCATGGAGTGATGGTGATTCCTACAGGAATTAGCTATAGAAAGCAAGAGGCCCAGAGGAGGCTGCTTCAGCGTGTGAGCTCAGGATTCCCCAGTGATAAGACTGTGTGACTCCAGCCAAGGTTCTTAACCTCTCTGTGTCTCAGTCTCCGAAAGGAACCAACAGCCTTACCAGGAAGAGGGGACGTGGTCAGCCTACTAGATCTCTGTGGGTCAGAGGTGCGTGGGCCTAGAGCTTGGCAGATGGCAGCTAACAACAGACCTGGACTTCCTTTGAGGGTTGAATGGTATGAATGGACAATTGAGGAAAGACTGGAGTTTGATCCCCAGCACCACAATGTGGGGAGGTGGGGGGGGGGGAGAAAACCAGTAGCATGAGATGGTCATAGTAAAAACAGGTGTTACCGTTTAGAGAGTCAGTCTGGGAGCACTAGGGATGACAGATAAAAGGGCCTGCAGTTGAGTGTGAGGTAACAGGTGACCAGCCGGAGGAAGGCCAGAGCGCGTCTATAGGCCACCAGCACGCACGATGTCCCACAAGACACACATGCAGGGATCTGCTGACTTCTCACAGAGTCTTAATCGTAGATGAAACCGCTTGTGAAAAGCCCCCACCTACTCCAGGAAGGAGGCTGCCCCAGACCCCTAGACAGGGAGCCGGATGCAAGCTTGCCAGGAAGAGCTGCAAGCTGCGTCTCGGTTAGCTGATGGCTGACAGACCTTGGCAAAAACAGGGACCAGCAACACCTGCAGGGGCAGAGACCAGCAATGCTGGGCAAGCCTAGCAGTTAGCAGGCCAGCCAAGGTCAATGCCTACTGAGCAGGGACTTCCGAGTGTGGCCACTCTCCTACGGTGAGCAGTGTGTGAGCCCTTGCTGGTTGGGTGAGGGAGCTGTACATGAGGGAAAGTCCCTACCCATCTCCGGGGCAGCTCTGTTGGGGGGGGCCCTCCCATAGGATGCTAATCTGACTTTCCTGGCACCCTTTCTTGAGCTCCTCTTTCTGCAGTAAATTCTTTTTTTTTAATTTTACTTTTTAATTAAAATATAATTGTCACTTTTCTCCTTCCCTTCCCTTCTTCCAGTCCCTCCCAAGTCCTCCCTCCAACCCTTCCATGTCTCCCCACCATTTCCAAATCAATAGCCTCTTTTCCCCTAATTATTATTGTTACAAATATACATATATGTATGCAAAAATAGATAAATACAACCCGCTAAGTCCATTTTTGTTGTTTGTGTGTATATGGTTTGGGGGCTCGATTTGTATTGGATAACCAGCTGGGGTGCTCACCCAGGAGCTAGGCAGTCTTCCTTTCTTGGCAGTCAGCTGTTGTCTGTAGCTCCTTGTCCAGGGGTGTGCCCCGCAGGATTTTCCCTTTTAGTGGTAGCGATCCTGTTGATGCTGCTATGCTCAGATCTTGTCTATGCAGCCATTTCTATGAGAGAGCGTTTCACAGTAGACTTCCTGGTGTTCTAGCTCTCACCAGCTCCCCATCTGCTCTTCTGAGATGGTCCTTCTGAGTTGCCGATGCAGGAACTGTGGTATAGATGTATCTGAAGAGGCTGGGCCACCCACTGTCTGTTGATCTCTGTGTTGTGTCCGGCTGTGGCTTTCTGTGATGTCTCCGTTTGCTGGAAGAGAAGCTTTGATGAAGGGAGGTAGCTACGCTTACCTACAGGTATAAGGATAAGATTTAGGATGTAGGAAGGGATCATGTTGGTCGCTAAGCTTTCTCTGTAATGAAAGATTTTATTTTTTAAAAATATTTATTTATTTGTTTGTTTGTTTATTATGTATACAATATTCTGTCTGTGTGTATGTCTGCAGAAGAGGGCACCAGACCCCATTACAGATGGTTGTGAGCCACCATGTGGATGCTGGGAATTGAACTCAGGACCTTTGGAAGAGCAGGCAATGCTCTTAACCTCTGAGCCATCTCTCCGTAATGAAAGATTTTAGAAATTCACCCTTTGTGGCCCTGAATTTCAGTCTTCGAATTTTCTAGAAGGACCTGGAGCCTGCCTCAGTGGAGGCTTTAGTGAACATCCAGAAACTTCAGTCCTTGCGTTACTCACTCCTGCCTAAGATGAAACTATCCCTTTTGCTCCCGAGGACCTCTGTGTGTTTCTGTTTCAGAACTAATAATACCTACCTCAGGTGTTACTATTAATCCTTATTGCATGTTTACCCCATGCCAAGAGGCGTTTCAGTCATCTGCACATGTTAATACTTCATTCCTGACAGCTCTGTCTCACAAATGAGAAACCAAAGGCTATAGCTTTTCATTTTATTGAACAATGTGGGCTGGAAAGATGTCTTAGAGGGTCCTGCACTTGCAACACAAGAGTGAGGCCCAAACATCAGATCTCCAGGACCCACGTAAATAGTGAACACTGGAGGGTATGGTGGCATGGACCTGAAACCTCAGCTCTTGAGAAGCAGAGACCCATGGTCCCTGGAGTAAGCCGGCTAGCTGACCAGCTGAATCAGTGAGCTGTGGGTTCATGTGAGAGACTGCGTCTCAGTATACAAGGTGGAGGGCTACTGAGGAAGGCAGCTGAAGACAGCCCCCTGCAGCATCAACCTCTGGCGCGTGTTTCCATGTGCACCTCCACACATGTGCATACATATATATACATAGAAATACAGGAATTTACACCACACAGACAAACACCCCAAATATAATGCTATAAAAGATGTATTTTTAACTTTTAAAAAGATTTACTTTTTACTTATTTTTATGTATGTGTGTGTGTGTGCATGCGCGTGTGCATGCATGCATGCATGCATGCTGGTATGAGTTTACCTGTACCTCTGTAGGTGCTAGAATCCTAACCCTCTACAGGAGCAGTACATGCTCCTAACTGCTGAGCCATCTCTCTCCAGTCCTCCCAATCTTTTGTTTTTATTTATTTTTAATTAAAAAAAGAAAAGACAGGGGCCAGAAAGATGGCTTAACATTTAATAGTGTATCCTGCTCTTGCAGAGGACCTGAGTTCAATACCCAGAACCCTATGTCTGGCAGCTCACAACCACCTATAACTCCAGCTCCAGAGGATCTACCACACTCTTCAGAACTCCCTGGGCACCTGTACACTCATGCCAGACATACAGACACATCAGCACACACATTCGAAGAGAAATAAATAAGTCTTTGAAAAGAAGAAAACACGTTTCTTTAAGTGAAACGGTTTATTTCTTCCATTGTTTTCTAGTACTTGTTCACAGACATTTCTTTCAATAACTATATATTTTATATGGAAATGACACATGCTTTTGTGGTTTTGTTTTTTTGAGACAGAATTTCTCTGTAACTTTGGATCTTGTCCTGGAACTCACTCTGTAGACCAGACTGGCCTCAGACTCACAGAGATCTGCCTGCCTCTGCCTCCCGAGTGTTGGGATTAAAGGTGTGCGCCACCACTGCCTGGCTGCTTGTTTTTTTAGTGGAAGAAAGAAAAAGAAAACAATTTCCAAGCCACAAATTAGTTTTTTTTTTTAAAAAGAAAGTGAGTTAATGCTTTAGTAACAGAACTCGTTTTCAACACGTATCTCGAGCCATCCAGGTGTTGACAGCCTTCCTGTGAGTCACTAAAGTCAAATATCTCTTCACGGCACTGGGTGCTTTGGCTGGCCAGAGAGGAAAGACAGACTTAAGTACTAAATTCCCTGGTGTGCCTAAAACGTAGGCCAGTTTTCAGACTAATTCTTTCCCCCAGGATAAAAGTCAAGTTACAAGACATTGCAAATAATCTGTTGTGGGCATTTTCTTTTTATATCAGAGACGAGACGCTTCTAGTGATAAAAGAAAAATCCTAGACATCTACTACCTGAGCCAGAAGCCCACAAAGGTGGTCAGGTAAGGCCTGATATTCCTGTGGCCTTGGGCCTTGGCTTGCTAGCCAAGAACTCTACCCTGAACTGCATTCCCAGAGGGAGGTAAAACCTTTGGTAGCATAAAAAGACCTAGACGTTATTGGGGGTGGGATCCATCCTTCAGATGTCTGTGAAGGGTCTGAACCTGAAGAGGACCTGCTGAGAAGACAGACTTGATACGCATAATTTCAAAGCCAAAGTCTGTATCTCCTCATCCATGTTTGGAGCTAGGAAAACAGGTGTTGGGGGGGGGGTGTCGACAAGATGTCAAAAGCCTCAAGGAACCCAGACCAGAACCCAAGTCCTCATTTGGAGTCATCCGGGGAGATTTGTTGCTCTTTGTGTGTGTGTGTGTGTTTAAAGATTTATTTATTATGTATACAGTGTTATGTCTGCAGGCCAGAAGAGGGCACCAAATCTCATTACAGATGGTTGTGAGCCACCATGTGGTTGCCAGGAATTGAACTCAGGACTTCTGAAAGAACAGCTAGTGCTTTTAACCTCTGAGCCATCTCTCCAGCCCTGCTCTTTGTGTTTTGGAAGCTGGATAAGAGCTAGTATTTTAAAAGGGACATGACTCTAACAAAAGGTATACTATAAGCCGGTGGGTGGTGGTACTCAGGAGGCAGAGACAGAACTCGGTGAGTTCGAGGCCAGCCTCGAGGTCTACTGAGCTCGTTCCAGGATGGGCTCCAAAGCTACAGAGAAACCCTGTCTCCAAAAACAAAACCAAAGACAAAAAATGTTAATTACCCTCAAGTGGGGTCTAAGGTGTGGGGTTCAGTGAGAGAGCATGGCACCCCGAGTTCAATCTCTAAATACCAATGACTCAGCCACACAACAGTCCCTCTAATGTTCTAGAAAATTCCATAACTATTTTCTGGAGGGGGGTGTTTAGGACGTGGTCAGACGTAGAACAGGCTGCATTGAATTTGCCCTTTAGCTAAGGATGACTTTGAACTTCTGACCTATCTGCCTTCCCTGGCTAACAGTCTCTAACTTCTGAGGAAACATTAACTGGCCTTGCAGGATTAGAGTAGCCGGAACTTAAGGTCAAAGGGCACACAGGTGGCACAGCAGGTACCCAGCGCTGAACCCTCCAGTTATTTTAAATGTGGATTTTAAGAAGATGGAAAAACACTTCCATGTCCACCCAGGACGGGGTTGCTGGGTTTGTGCGAGACAGGACCTGTTATGACTCCCCATCATGTCTGCAGCTTCTCATCAAGGGACCCAGAGACCCTAAGTTCCTGGAGCCAGACTGAGTATTCCAGTAAAAGTGGAGGGGAATGCTGTACACCCGTATCAGCGGGCTGATACGGGCTAGGGACATTAGCGCAGGTTTTCAGTGTGTCTAGGGCTGCTCCTATGGGTCACCGGATCGCACACGTCTACTCTAAGAGGAGATCAGGAAGCAGCTGATTACAGTCCTAGGAGCCCCTGAAATGTTTCCACAGGCATGCTGCGAGACCAAACCCAAGGATGGAGGATGGCTGTGCCACCGAAGAGGACTGCTGCCAGGGGAACCCGAGCCTGGAGAGCAGCTTCCCATGGAGCTTGAAGCTGGCCATCTTTGGCATTTTCATCATTGTGTTGTTTGTCTACATAACTGTGGAAAAGAAGCCGCTCTTGCGTTAAACCCTTTAGGAGCAAAGCAGAGAAGGGCCTTAGCTACAGCCAGGCAGCCCCTCCCACTGCCCCAAATGTCCCCGCCCCTGCCTCAGACGCCCCCGCCCTATACTGGCTCTCCTGGGCTGTGTCTGGGTTCATCTAGGTGGAGGAGCAAGGGCAGAACCAGGCAGCATGCTAGGTGCACGACAGTCTGTAAGTCAAGAAAGCCATCATTAAAGGTGCTAACACATCAGAGCGCTCTTCTGTCAAGGAAACTGCCCGGGTCTGCTCCCTCCCTCCCTCCTTCCTCTGTTTTGTTCCTGCCCTCTTTTCCCCCAAAACAAAGAGGCTTCACATTCTTATACCAGTCCACTTGCTAGTGCAGAACGTGAAACAAAGAGAAAATTATATTCCTGATAAAATGTGTGCAGTTAGCCAGACGTGGTGACATTTCCAGTTTGGCCTGGCGCTGACAGTGACCTTGATAGAGCACGAATCTGTTCCTCCTCCGCTGCAGCCCCCCAGCCTCAGACGGGGCTTCTTCTCCACTGACTTTGTCTCTGGTTTTCATCAGAACCATTTGGGGAAGAGGAGGAGTTTTCCGTTTTCTGTTGGGGCTCGGTGACTTTTCCTGGGAAGATGGAAATAATGTCTGCTTGCCCCAGAGAGGGGAGAGGGGACTGACCAAAGAAAAATAAACAAGTGTAGGAATCCAGTCTAGCTTGGCGACCCTACGAGTTTATTGTGGTTATTGCGGGTGAGTGAGTGAAGGTTCCTTTCTAGAGCAGGTGCCAGTGCTCGGGAAAGCTGTGCCCAGGAGGCTCCTAGAGAGCTAAGGTAGCTCCCCCAGAGAGGCTCCTCTCTCCCCAAGTTGCTTACTGCTTGCTCTGAGCTCAGAGAGGGGCCTTACCAGCCTTGTAGATTTCCTGCGAGTTATTGGAATTGTCTTGGAGTTTTATGGGCCTTCGCTCCCATCCCTCTGGGAGGGAATGTTTCAGGCTGGAGGCAGAAGCTACAAAGCTGTTTATTGACCAGGAATCGTTTGACCCGCAAAATCTCTGAGAACAGAGCAGCTGCAGAGGTAAGCCATCACGTGGTGCTGAAGGAGGAGGAGAAGCCACAGGTCACCTTTTAGTCACCGTTGGGGTGGAGCAGCCATGGAAAGGTTACCTCAGCCATTGAGAGATGAGGATAGCTGGGTTGGAGGTCAGAGACAGAGCAAGCCAGGCGAGTGTGAGGTCTGGACTCCAGCCAACACAGGAAGAGGTACTGTGGCAATTCTTATGGTTGCTAAAGCAAACCCTATACAAATGAACAATAATGGGGACTAGCTTAATAAACAGAAACACTGCCTCTTAGAGATAAAGGGACAATCTAAAACAGTAACACCCAGATTGTTGTAGAAGGCACTTAATTGAAGTTTCCTTTAAATTTTATTTATTTATTTATTTATTTATTTATTTATTTATCTATCTATCTATCTATTTATTTATTTGTGTGTGTGTGTGTATGTTTGCCTTCTTGTGTTTCTTTAAAGATTTATTTATTATGTATGCAACATTCCTTCCATGTATGCTTGAATACCAGAAGAGGGCACCAGATCTCATTACAGTTGGTTGTGAGCCACCATGTGGGTGCTGGGAATTGAACTCAGGACCTCTGGAAGAGCAGTCAGTGCTCTTAACCTCTGAGCCATCTCTCCAGCCCAACTTACTTATTTTATATGTGTCAGTGTTTGCTTGAGCGCGTATGTGTATCACATGATGCCCGTGCCAGTGAAGATCAGAAGAGGGCATCGGATCCTCTTGAACTGGTGTTACCGATGACTGTGAGCCACTGTGTGGCTGCTGGGAACCAAGCCTGGGCCCTTCGTAAGAGCAACAAGTGCTCTTAACCCCTAAGCCATGGCTCCAGCCCCAAGACGCTTATTGCTTTTAATGGTAATCAGAAAGGACAGATTTGCTGTCCCTGCATTTTCTTAACTTCATGAGAGGGAAAAACACCAGCATGTTCTACTTCATTGGTGACTGGGACTCTAAATTTTTCTGATTTTACTTTTTTCAAAATTTAAAGATTTCTACAAACTGTGCATTAATTTGCTGATGAGAAAAGCATAATTTTTAAAAGCTATACTAACCTGGTGTGTGCGGTGTGCATGCGGTCTCAGCTACATGGGACGCTGAGGCAGGAGATCTCAGGAGCCCAGGAGTTCTAGGCCAGCCTGGGCCACATAGTGAGATGCTGTCCCCTGTCTTAGTTTGCTTTCTCTTGCTATGATAAAATACTGACCAAAGCCAACCTGGGGAGGAAACAGTCTGGCTTAACTTTCCCCATCGCAACCCATTATTGAAGGAAGTCAGGGCAGGAACTCAAGCAGGAACCTGGAGGCAGGAACTGAGGCAGGGCCCATGGAGGAGTGCCACTCACTGGGTTGCTCAGCTGTTTTCTTATTTAACCCAGGACTTTCTGCATGGGGTGGTACTGCCCACACTGTGTTGTCAGCCATTAACCAAGAAAACATCCCACAGACAAGCCCACGGGCCAACTGATGGAGGCGGTTCTTCAATAGAGGGTTCTGCTTCACAGGTGATTCTAGTGTGTGACATAAAATTTTAAGTCTATTTATGTATTTATGTATTTATTTATTTATTTATGATTTCTGTCTCTTCCCCACCACCGCCTCCCATTTCTCTCCCCCTCCCCCAACAAAGTCCCCCTCCCTCTTCAGCCCAAAGAGCAATCAGGGTTCCCTGCCCTGTGGGAAGTCCAAGGACCACCCACCTCCATCCAGGTCTAGTAAGGTGAGCATCCAAACTGCCTAGGCTCCCACAAAGCCAGTACGTGCAGTAGGATCTGCTAAGTCTTATGAGACTTAAAACATAAATCATAAAAAGTCTAGAACTTAAAATATGAAATATTATTGAAAACAAGTAAATAGGACCTTACTCAGACGGATCAGCTGCAGAAGATACTGTCGTCATCCACGAGCTAGCGACTTCTGAGCTACCTGGAGAGAAACCCCAGGTAGACGAGAGGAAAGCTCTTCCGAGGCCGGCCTCTAGAAGCTTGTGTCTCCTCGGCCCTGGGCAGCAGCCGGTGTTACAGCTCAAAGACCCTCAGCTCCCAAGACTTCACAGCTCTCTGGGACTCCTGTGGCCAGAGCCCTCAGGCTCGCCTCTCGGGCTCCTTACAGCTTCAGTCAGCTCCCTGCTTTCTTGTCATCTCTCTTCTGCTCCCCTTTTCTTTTCTTGGTCACTGCTGGACTTTCAGCCGCTCCTTCAGTTGTCCATGGCTGCCAGCAGGACGGATAACTCAGTACACGCCTTCCTTAGGACAGCATTTGGAAGCCAGATACCTAGGCGGTCATTCAGTAACTGGGCCTCAGTGTAGCTAGGGTCACTCCGACCTGGATATCCCTGAGGTGGGATGCCTTTGAGCAGATGGGCTCTGTGGGTAGACCAGCAGGCGGTCCCAGGCCACATTGCCATACCAGAACCACCTGATGGGTCCTAGACCTCTGCAGACGAGCACTGCTTCAGCTGCCAAGCAGTCCCATCAAGGTCTTCCCCAGCTCTTCTTTCTCGATCAAGTGGGCATTTTGGGCTGTGACGTCAGGGCACACCGAGCTCCAGAGCCAGGTTCTTGTGGTAAGTAAGCTGGTTGTTGCCAAGCCTCGTGGTTGGTATCAGAAACAGCTGCTAGCCACTAAGGCTGCCTCTGAGGCTACCAGATGTGGTCAAGCTGTTCAGCAGCTGCAGCTGGAAGCCTGGGACTCGGGGGCAGTGCCAGACACTGCTGTTTTTCCTAATTTAACTTTTGACTCTGGATTTCATGTCATGCATCTCGGTCCCATGCCTCATCTCCCCATTCCTTTGTATCCGCCCTCTGCCCTTGTAACCTTGCCGTACAGGATAAAATAAAATTTAAAAGAAAAGAAAAAAAAAAGATAAAATTCTCATCGCAGAAGCTGCAGTGTGACACAGTGCGCCACACAGTAAACCCCTTTAGTCCACATGTCTTTACTTGCAGAGTTCATTGCAGAGTCAATGGTTCCGTTCCAGGCCTTTGGTTTCGGCTACACTCTCAATATTAGGCCCTCACTGGGACTCCTCCTGGATATCATGTTGTTGTCCTATGTCATAGAGATCCTGCAACTTTGGGTCTGCAGGACCGGTCCCTTCACATGCTCCCGCAGATCACAGATGGGTGGATGTTGGGATGAGCCAACACATAGCCCTGGTTCTGGGCCTGGGCGGTTGCCTACCAGTTTTCTCCTGTCCTCACCACCAGGGTGAGCTCTCCTGCATGCCCCAGCTAGTTCACCCCTGCAGCAGCGGATGAGCAAGGGATGGGACAGGTTCTCCTGCTTTCCCACCCTCGGGGTTGTCTCTCCCACACCTACACTATCAGGGCCGGTTCTACTATGTTGTATGTCAGGTGAGGTGCAGGGCCCGCTCTCCCCAGTGCGGCAGCTGGTGATGAGCAGGGACAGATCTCCTGCTCTTCTATGACCTGTCAGGGTCAGCTCTCCCACTTGCCTCTGGCAGTGAGGGCAGGGGATGTGGGAGGGTAGATGGGAGGCAGGGCCAGGTCTCCCACCTCCCATGTGCAAGTTCTCAGGACAGGACGGGCTCTCCCTTGCCCTGTCAGCAGGGTCTGCTCCACTGTGCTGCCCAGGTAAGGTGTGGATCTTCAGCTTTAAGCCATGGGTGGTGCTTATGACCCAAAAGATCAGGCTGGTGCAAAGCCTCTGGGATCAAGCCCCTGTCTAAGAGTGAATGTATCTGGTACTCCTTAAAGTCATACTGCCTCCACCATTGTCACACTGCTGCCATCTTCATGGCTACCATGCTGCTTCCTCATATCCAGTGTGGCCTGCACTTCTGAGTAGGCAAGGAAAGACCACTTGGGATTGGTCTCTGTTTCATCTATGCTCAGTACCAGGTGTTGTAGGGGCAGATGACAGACCAAAGTAACGATCACACCAGAATCCACCTTGGTAAGCCAATAGGTTTATTGGGGTCATTTCCAGGAACAGGGTTTCTCAAAGGCAGTTGCCCCATTGGAAAGCCCACCCATCGTGAGAGACAACTCAGGAAGTGTCTTCCAGGCAGCTCCACTTCCCATCTCCACCTGTAGTGGTGGTGGTCGTCTTCTTCTTCTTCTTCTTCTTCTTCTTCTTCTTCTTCTTCTTCTTCTTCTTCTTCTTCTTCTTCTTCCTCCTCCTCCTCCTCCTCCTCCTCCTCNGTCGTCTTCTTCTTCTTCTTCTTCTTCTTCTTCTTCTTCTTCTTCTTCTTCTTCTTCTTCTTCTTCTTCTTCCTCCTCCTCCTCCTCCTCCTCCTCCTCCTCCTCCTCCTCCTCTTCTTCTTCTTCCTTCTTCTTCCTCTTCCTAGTCTCTCTCTCTCTCTCTCTCTCTCTCTCTCTCTCTCTCTCTCTCTCTCTTTCTCTTGGTTTTCCAAAACAGTGTAGCCCTAGCTGTCCTGGAACAACTCACTCTGTACACCAGGCTGGCCTCAAACTCACAAGTGCTGAGATTAAAGGCGTGGGCCACCACCACCCTGCTCAGTTTGCTTCTTCTCTTGTGAGTTTTAGTTTTCCCAGACAGTGAAGTCTGTATACTTCTGAGTCTCATACAAGCCTCCAGGTTCCTTCCTGAAGGGACCTTTCAATTAAGGACTTTTTGAGTCTTAAGGGGCCTCCCTCCAGATGATGTTTTATTTCCCAGAAACTGCTTTATCAGGATAGGTGACACAGCAATGTCTCTCAGTCAGTGCACTAGGCAAGCTTTAAGGAGTCTGATTACATATCTGGGGATAGATTAGACCAGTCACAGCCATTCATTTGGCCAGTCACAGCTTGTTGTGTAGCACTAATCAGTCTTTGAGGCTTGTGTTTGGGACTAATCATGAGCTTCTCTTCGGTCATAGTTGACCCTCCGCTGGATAAGGGTGCCCCCTGTGGCCAAGTTAGAAATGGTTCTTCCAGGCTTGTGATTGCGCAAGTCTGACCCATGCTGAGCCTCCGCCTCTCAGCTGCTGTCTTCTGCATAGTCATCCTAAGGCACCTATGGAGTATTCGAGATGGCTTGTGTTGGGAAAACTCACAGAACAGGAATGAAAAGTCCAACCTCAAGGTATGGAACATGAGAACAAGAGAGTGAGAGCTGGGCAGGCCAGCGGTGTTCTGGGAACCCAAAAGGTCACGCTTCAACCTAGTACAGCCTTTCAAAGGTCATTGGCTGAAGGAGATTCCCCATCACCTCCCTGTTATCTAAATAAGAGAGTTCTAAACCCAATGCAAATCTATACACACTAGGAACAGATATCAAGTATAAAATTAAGATTACAACCATCATAAACAATATTAAGCAAAGAACATATGCTAAATGTTTTAATAAACATTCTGTTCTAAGGAGTCTAAATCTTGCATTGGAAATGGCTTGGCTAGATTATAAGAGGAAGGTAACTACTACTATCTAATCTTCAACCCCATCGAAGGCCTGAGAAGGGAGACAATATTACTTGAGTAGGTAGAAAGTGCAATCAAGCAGCTTCCAAAATGTGTAGTATATCATACACAGATATACATGCAGGCAAAACACCCACACACACACATATAATTTAAAAAAGAAGTGCAAGCCAAGTGTGGTGGTATATGGCTTTAATCCCAGCAGAGGCAGGAGGATCTCTGAGTTTGAGGCCAACCTGTTCTACTGAGTGAGCTCCAGGACAGCCAGGACTACACAAAGAAATCCTGTCTAGAAAAAAAAGAGGAGGAGGAGGAAGGCTGATTCACAGACATTGGCCTGGTACCTTTACTGCTGCAGCAAGTTCTGCTCAGGCTACCAGACCTGCATTTAAGGCATGACGTAAAGGAGTATCTAAAACTCATCACCAGCTCCGTGTTATATATTTAATCCAGAACAGCGAAGGTTGGGGAAAGAGCTTTTGGTTTTAACACCAAATGTATTACAGATAAAGGAGAAGGAGACTGGACAAGGAATAAACAGAATGAATAAACACCCCTAAGAAGCTGCCAGAGTGCGTGCCTGTGTGTGTGCATGTGTGTGTGTGCGTGTGTGTGTGTGTGTGTGTGTGTGTGTGTGTGCATTCATGCATGCACCAGTTGGTTCTTACAGATCAGAATCCGGTTTATAAAAAGTATACATGACCTAGTTTCCCGATTTGTCACTCCAGGGCTTCTTCTCTGGCCGGCAGCAGCTCAGACCTCCACCTCCTCCTGCTTGCTGTTTGTTTTGAGACGGTATCACACCCTGATGCCCAGCTGACCAGAGGGTCCCCCCAAAATCAGGTTCATTCACTTTCTAAAAGGCAAATATTTGGTGCACATAGCAAGTTCCAAGCCAGCCATGGCCACAGAGTGAAATCTTATCTAAAAACAAAAACAACAAAAAAACAAAAAACAAAAACAAATGAGAAAAAAAAAACCAACTCAAAAACCAAATGGGAAGTGATGGTGAAGATCAGGAAGGGACTTGAATCAGCACAGAGGGACAGACGGAAGCAGGGATGAAAGGCATAAATGGCCCATCAGCCTCAGGCAGAGTGTGGTCTGGTTGGTTATTGTCTCAGAATCAGTCAAGTGGGCCTTGTTGAAAGAAGAAAGCCATGGCTGCCTGTGGGTAGACTCCACTCCCTTCCACTCCAGTCACAAGATGTTTCTCAGTCAGATCCGCTGTTCCCGGAATCTAAGGTGAAGAGAAATAGCCAGAGCAAAGAAGACAGGTGCAAAATGGAGGCAGAGATGCCAAATTCTTAAATTGCTTTTAGTGTCCCGTATGCCACCTGCAGTCCAAGCAAGGAGTAGGAAAAGCAGCCATGGTCCTTGCTCCTGAGCCCAGCTGAACATCCCCATGGTTGGAGAGGCTGCGTGCTGGGCTGAGCTCCCACCTGTGGCATCTCTTCCTCTCCCCGGGGAGACAGTGTCAGAACTGAATCAGGAAAATCAGCCGGTGTCTGCTGGGGAGTGTGGCCTCAGAACTGCTTGGCATGTGGGGAGGAAACTCATTTATCAGGTGTCAGAGGAGGCATGGTTTGTGACAGAAGACACCCTGGTTTTCCCGTCTCTAATAGACATCGACAGGGACTCAGGATAGAGGGAGGTGAGGGATGAGTCTCTCAGGAGCCTGAGTGTGCCGAGACGAGCTTCCAGGGAGGGGGGACGAGCCTGTCTGTGGAAGACACACAAGAGATACAAGTTCAGTAACTGATTTGCAATCCTGGGTGCTTGTGATAGATGACAAATAGAATCAGCAGAAGATACATCTGCTCCCAGAGAGGTGCTGGGATGGAGAAGTCAAGAGACAGTTACAAGGGGAATGTCCTTTGATGGTGGCGCAGATGGTCCTGGGGGTAGTCGTCACAGACAGCGTGTGGGAACAACTTCTTCTTCTTCTTCTTCTTCTTCTTCTTCTTCTTCTTCTTCTTCTTCTTCTTCTTCTTCTTCTTCTTCTTCTTTCTCTTCCTCTTCCTCTTCCTCTTCTTCCTCCTCCTCCTCCTTCTTCTTCTTCTCCCTCTCCCTCCTCCCCCCTCCCCCCTCCTCCTCCTCCTTCTTCTTCTCCCTCTCCCTCCTCCCCCCTCCTCCTCCTCCTCCTCCTCCTCCTCCTCCTCCTCCTCTTCTTCTTCTTCTTCTNCCCTCCCCCTCCCCCCCCCTCCTCCTCCTCCTCCTCCTCCTCCTCCTCCTCCTCCTCTTCTTCTTCTTCTTCTTCTTCTTCTTCTTCTTCTTCTTCTTCTTCCTCCTTTTTGGAGACAGGTTTCTCTGTAGCTTTGGAGCCTGTCCTGGAACTAGCTCTTGTAGACAGGCTGGCCTCGAACTCACAGAGAGCCACCTGCCTCTGCCTCCCGAGTGCTGGGATTAAAGGCGTGCTCCACCGCCGCCTGGCTGTATGGGAACTTCTTGAAGGAAATGATGCC